ATCCGTCTTTCCACACACAGCCACCGCGCGCTGATGGTGCAGTCTGTGCGTTTGTTAAAGGCTAGGTGTCACGGGGACACACACACACTTGTTTCTTGTTTCGGCACGCCCAGACAACCCAGAGTGACATCGGCCACCCGGCGATACAGCCCGAGGTCAAGATACCTGGAGCCGTGGCGTCTTAGAGCTGAGCTGTTTGATTTTTACTCTGTCTCTGCCTGTCAGAATCTCAGCCCCCGCCCCACCCCCTCCCCACCAACCTCAAGAGCACCAATGAAAGTAGAAAGTCAACATGTGCAATTAACCACCAAAGCCGCCAAGATCGCATGAAATGCAGCATTTTTTACGCATCTGTGTATTTTCAAACCAGATGAACGAATGTTTCGGCTGCAAAATAGCTTTAAATTGCGGGCAGTAGAGTCGGAGTGAGCTTCTGGGTTTCAGAATTAGTACACAGCATACTTTATTCCAACCAACCGATTTGTGAACACAAATTCTGAATGCAGTATAATCGCCTGATCAAATATGCAAGTTTATTTCTTAGGAAGGGCAATACCCCAAAAATCTCAGCTCGAGTGTGATCGTTCACCTTGCAGCGGGATCAATGAAACTTCGTGGTCTCCTAGGTCGTCCACGCGACCTAAAGTTGAACGAAAATGGACATTTACGAAGCCTCAGCTAATAGGACATTAAGAATGAAACATCTTTTCAACCTACAACGTCTGAGTTTTGAGCGGCTGTGAGGGGCAAGCTCTTATTAGCGCAAACTCTCGGCACTAACGGGATAGGTACCCCTGCAACCGCCCCAGCACGTCTAAAAGTGGCCTATGCATAAGCATATTCATGTGTGAGCGCGGCACTTATGGAACCTTGGAATCATGTTAACCGAGTGATTCATCCTGGACACTTAATCACAACAGTGGCTACGTGTTCTTACTGTAAATTCCTGTAACACAAGAGGAGCTCGCCATAAAAAAACACAAAAAGGTACTTCAGAAAAATCTATTTCCAAACTGGCCCGCTTAAGGTATTAAATTCATTTTCGGTAAGGATAGGCTACAGGTGTCACCAAAGTATCACTGAACCCCGGAGCTATGTTTCACGAGACCGGTGTTAAAATGAAATCATTTCCTTTCGCCTGTAGAGATAGTACATCAGTTGAAAAACATATTAAAATAGAAAAAACAGACGTTACAACTAATGAAAAGCTTTTTAATAAATACTCTGCCTTATTTGTATCTGCATGTCTACTA